TCGTGAATAGAAATTTTTTTTTCAATATTTTCAAACTCTCGTATCATTATTATTATTTTTATTCGTTCTAAACGAGGTTCACGAACAATGAAAAAAAAATAGCAATTATAACTAATTAATAAAAATGTTAACGATTAATAACAAAGATAATTTAAGTATCCAATTAAAAGTAGGTACGACTATAAAGGATCAATTAAGCAATTATATGCCTGCAATATATTATTACAATCGATCAATTTATAAAAGGACGAACTGATCAAAACGTAATTAGCTCGTTAAGCACATTTAATGTGCCTACCTACATTGCGAGTGGGCTGCATAGTTATATATATTAATTGCAACGTAATGCATTGATGTCGGGCGGCTGATAATACATAACGTCGTTGCTGTTGGATTCTAATCCGACCGATTGTTGTGCGACCTGCAACGGTGTACAATGTACATACTTGTAAAGAATTTTATAGAGAAGTTTGGTAAACGTCATACATACTGGTATTATATTATACGTAGAGACTTCCAGAGATGTAATCACAACTTCGTGGAATTTATACGAATTGGTGGGTCGACTTGTGCAGGATCGAAATCTACGGTTTGCGACTGTTGCACGAGTGACTCTGAACCACTCACATATATAGTCACATTCGTTTAAGGAGCTAGGAGAAAATAAATTACATAATATTAATATGCAAATACCGTTCGGGGAAATGGGCGTGTATAATATATTATATTATTATACACTGTGCAAAACAATATGACATTGTTATGAAATAAATTATAATAGTGTCGACTGTGTTGCAGCGCGTGTGTTCGCCATCGTCCAGTTCTGCCGTACGATAAATCGTCAAGAGGTTGTGCGCGGTCGACGGTAAGGGTGTGGTGGGGTTCGTAGGGGTGGCGCCGACTATGATTTTCTTATCTGCTCCGCGTTTTCACTCGGAAAATCTCAGACGAACCACCGACCTTATCCGAGCGCATAATATTATATTTACTTAGCAGCAGTCGACGGCGGCGGCGGCGGCGGCGGCGCGTCGTTACTGGCGACGGACCGACGGCCGCCGGCGCCGACGTTCGCTTACAAAAATTATTATCATTATCATTGCTATTATACTTTTGTGTCCGGTGTGGGCGGCGGATCGGGAGAGACAAAACGGCGGCATTTTTGTCGGGCGACGACCGTCCACTGATTGATGATCTCCGCCGCGAGTCGCCCGCGACCGATAAATCATCCCTTGCGACGGACTCGTGTCGGCAGCACACCCGTCAACGGGTTCGGCGTTTGGTCTTACGTCGAAGTTTTCGACACGAATCCCGAAGTCTCGAAGAGGACCGAACGATGTGATTTTCCAAAACAATCGCATCGTAATGGTAATAATAACATTTTATACGAGTAGATCTCGTAACACGCACCATTAATCGGCTCTGGAACGCGTCTTGAATGAAAATCGCCAACGTTCATATTATTGATATTACAGTGGAACCTCGATAAGTCGGTAACCTTGATGAGTTGAAAAAATATGTAAAAAAATAATTTGAACATCTTGTGCTCCGAATATAGACGGATAATGATGGACAATTTTATGGACATTTGTCTAATCGGCATGTCTGTTTAGATAATTTGATAATTTATATATTTATAATAGCAAATCTCAAACTTTAAGTCCGAGTAAGTACTTACGGCCTGCATACATTTTTTTTATTAGTTAGTAATTTAAATAATGATAATATTTTAGTATCAATTAAAAAAAAAAAATACAACTTAACAAATAATCAATATATTATGATTTATGAATCATTCAATTTTTTATCAAAATACAAATAATACATAATATTATAAGAACAATTTTAATTTATTTAATTTTTTTTTCGTGATTGTTGTTGGTATGTTATTTTGATATTGATAGACGGAAGTTCTCTTGTCTCCTGCAATATATATTGCACTCAATAGAATCATAAGAACATGGATATTTTTCACACTTAATAATTAATAACAGTATTTAAAATTAGTGCGTACTGCACAAAATGTTTAAATGGACCTTGTAGTGGGAACAATTACTTAATTGCTCTAGTACATACAATGCACAAGTAATATTATGATTTTTTCATGCAATATATCGATTTATTTGCCTTGCGTTAGTCACGTGTTGTTAGAATGTTAAGATACATACTTATAGGTTGCAATGTATTGTGTTAGACCGTTAGTTAGTAACAATTACTTAATATATGAATACCAATACAAAAACAACGAAACCACTCTAATCGCATCTAAACGGCTTAACGTAGCCAAATATTTAACTTAAACAATGCAAAAAAATATTCCACTTACAGATATAAATAATAAATCATTATAATTCTCTTGGCAGTGTGCTACCGGACAGCCAAGGAATCCCGATCCGTACTCATGCTCTTAAAATGTAAATGCCATATCGCGACAATCGGATCTCTACATCGGTCACATCAATCTTATCTACTCGTTAGCGGTATATACCGCGTTTGCATATACCGGGTCCCGCGTGGTGCACCCCCCATGATAACCGTATAATATATAATTTATAAATAATAATAATAATAATATATTATATTGTGCCCGCGCTGACCGTCGGAATTTCGCATCACAATAATTTAAACAAAGTATCCGAAGCGAATCGTGCCGAGCCGCGTCACTCTGTCGTCCCGGCAGAAACCGGAGTAGCTGACAACGAGCCGTCCGTCCAATTGTCCATTCACACCATCTAAGGTTTATTGTGCGTTCTTTATACCCATTATATATGTATATATATAGGTATTATATTATTCTCCTATAGTTGTGCACACACCACAGCTGTGGTTGCAGCGGTAACATTGCATTACAAACGCGGTATCACGCGCGCACATCGAACAGACGCTTTTGTAAATCGACGGCGGACCTGCGGGGTGTGAATTGTGTAAAATAAGCTTTAATCGGACGCGCTTCGTCCGACGAGACCAACGCCCCCGCCCCCAATCGTGTATATATGTATGTACGTTTGATATATATTAGCGGAAATAGTGTATTATAACAACGTTACACTACGCGTATGTAAGGTATAAGTGTGACAAACGTGTTAGCAACGACGGCCGTCGCCCGTAGACCGAAATTCTCGCATATTATTATTGTAATTTAATGAGTTCTGCAGTTCACTCGAAATAAATGAATCTTTAAAATAATATTACGTGAAATACTATATCTATTGACGGGGATGATGGTCATTATAGTTCGCGGTTTTGTAGCATTTTCTTACGACCTGACAGCTCCACCACACCTGCCTGGCTACCTGTAATTGCACTGCAGTGCCGCCTCTCATAGTTCATTCTCTATGCACATCAACTGAAAAATATAAGGGCCACGCTGATAGGAAGTCACTACGTTTAAAAAAAGTTCTCTACAATATTGAAATCGCGTTGCTCGGGGTGAGCGAATATAACGCGTGAATAATGAACGGTATGATGATGCTATGCCTAAATTAATATATTGTATATGTAACCCGTTGTATTTTACTGTTAGTTTTTTAGTAAATAAAATAATATAATATATTATAATAGTTATTGATTGGAGAGGAAAGCCTTCGGGTTCACATTAACTCTATACAAGTTAAAAGTAATAAGCTGCTTGAAAAATTATATTTTTATAATATTGTGTTACGTTGAGCTCGTCACATTTGTTTATAACTTTATATATTATGTACCTACATAGAAAGTACCTTTTTTGTGTGTGTCATCATTGCTATCTCAATTCCGCAGAGTGATAGAGTAAGTGCCTATATAACTACCTATCCAATGATTTATTTTATAACCATTTCGATTCTTTTTTGTTGACTATTTTTGTCTATCTAAGACCCCGAAAATTACAATTTGCTGTCTCAGTACCGGAATCTGATCCACTCGACTCCAGTATTATAAAATGGATATTATGGATTCTTTTTAGCATATTCATTAATTTCAAAAGAGTCGCAAGACTTTTTAATTAATTTAAAATAATAAACTCACACAAGCACTCTTGTTTATCACGCCGCACTGGGTAAACTTTTTTATTATTAATATTTATAACAATATTATTATCCATTGTCACCACCACCGCCGTCGAGAAGTTATTTACTGTGCACAAGCGCAAATGATAACGAACTCGTCAAAGTACTTTATCCGCTCATTATCGGATGACGCACAAAACGTGCTCTGTGCATATTTAATTGACCCAGTGGTAAGCTACAATAGAAAATGGATAATACGTATTAACCAATGGGAATAGTGAGGATATACCCGAACACAATACCCGGATAACGATTTGTACAACTACACTAAAACCGCATCCGGCACTTCACTGGCTACACAATACTTTTCAATAATTTAGTAAATTATTATTATCACGCCATTCTAATTTCTGTTTTTTTATTTTCCGCGAGTCCAACACATGCTTCGAGGATTTCGTGATGTCATGCTACTAGATATTATAAGAGTTCGAGTGGGATTGTAATCCCAAAAGTGAGAACCAAATTTAATGAGTCTTATACACTGTTTGTTTTTGCAAAACGTGTGACTGGTTAATAATTTATTTATTTATTTTTGGTGATAAATATATTAATTTTAAACTCTACATAAATAGTGTACAATTTAAGGATTTTGCAATGTAATAATTACGTTGTATTCAGGTATACCTAAAAAAATTAAAAATAAAAAAAAATAAAAATTGATTGAAAAATATTGTTAAATTAGATTGTATATTTATGTAGAATTATTTTTTGTGTTGTTCTGTTCTGAACCATACTCCCACACCACAACCTTTGCTAGTGAGTGTACCAACCTCATAACATTGCACTCAATCTCAGCTGTATTCAACATTTTGTATTTTTTTTTTTTGCGCATTTTGTTGGTAAATAAATATTATTATTATTAAAATAGTATATTATGACTCAAAGTATTAACCGTAACATTTACATTATGAAATAAATTTATTCAATACTATTACTTTTATTCTGTTACTGGTGCTCTACGCAAATATACACAAATGTGGTAGATCGTAAAAATATGTTTAAAAATAAAATCAAAAAGTATCATACAACGGACACTACATGTATAGATGCATTAAATTTATTTGACAATCTTATATATCCCAGCTATAGTTTTAACATAACCAATACGTTTTTCTCTTCCGGTTTCAAGCCCAATAAATCACGTAACTTTTTATTTCGCTTAACTAATAAAGAATTTTCGGTTCTATCGGTCTGTAATTTCTTCTTCTCGGAGTGACAATAATTACCACATTCTTCACAAAACTTTTTCCTGCTAGAATAAAGAACAAAAAGAACATATATCAGAGCAGTTTTAATAGTTAAATGGTTTATTAATACAACATTCAATCTAGGTAGACTTAAAGTTTCACTAACTCATTTTTAGATTTTTCGAAATAATTGTGCATTTTCTCGGTCTGCGTGTGATTATCCGTTAGAAGTGTGATTTGATTGACACGCTTGGCTAATATTTTATTTTCAGTTGATGGTATCAAATCCCCTATACTTTGCCGTTTAGAAATTGAACCTGGACTATCGCAAATCTGACATTTTGAAGTCACCAGGTTTTCAGTATTAAGATGGGGTTCAAGGTTTAAAGTCTTGAAAGTATGATCGTTTTTAAATTGATTTTGACTTGAATCTTCCTTGTTATATTTCAAACATTTCCTTCCTTGATTAATATTTGTTTGTTTTCCAATAGTATTTGTAAATTTGTTTGAATTATATTTGGTATAGTCTGGGTTGTCTATATTTTTTTTAGAACTTTTTTTCATGTTAGAATGCCCGAAAGAATTTTCAAATTCACCTATTTCCTTCCAAAATGTATCCAACATACTGAAAAATAAATAATAATTATATTTAAATTCCAGACATGATTAAAATAATACTAGTTTTGAATGAAATGTGAAACTGTTAGATCCGGAATTACATTTTAAAATATATTATAATAACCACTTTCGCAATTAATTGTAACTACTCGTCAACTGATAGATCTGGATGTCTGAATCGACTATTAACTAATTACTGTTGTGCTTCCGTCCCATGGGAAATTAGATTTCAAACATAGTTTTGTTGAGTTTAAGTTTAATAGATCAAGTTGGAAGCATGTATTTCAGCGATTAATAATGTTTAAATCTCAAAAACAGCTAGGGCTTAATAAGCTTTATTTCCCCCATCGGTTAAAAATAAAACATCAAAAAATAAATAGGAAAAGTTTACTTTTTCTGTTTTTTGAAGCTAGGATTGGTGTCTGTAATGTAATTATCCAGTAAATAGGGCTGACTCTGTATCCTCGGAATATCATTGATTTTAGAATGATCAGAACGTATGTCTATCGTACTTAACGATGATTCCATTGGGTATCTGTAATATTTCACGTCTTCGTCCCAATAGACATGGTTCGAGTTTGACCACGGTATATTATCATTTATGTCTCTTGAGTCATGACTGTATAATAATTAATGGCGTTATTCAAATTAACAACTTGCTTATAATTTCTAATGGATATTAATTACGGTATTGAATTATAAAGTAATAATAACTACATATATTATTATTGTTGTCATCATTATTAATATTATTATGGCGATGAAGATGAATAATCTAAATACAATATTAATTTTCAATAAGTAAACTAGGTATTAGCATAACTTAACATAAACATTATTTTTTATTTTTACGAAATAACTGTCAGTATTTAATTATAATTTAATTTTCCCAATTTATAATATTGATTTATAATGATTTGTATATTCATAATAATATTATAATGTTATAAATTGAGCACTAAAAATTGTGTAGTTGGTTGAGCTTTCATAAAATGAAAAATACGAGTACTAGGCACATCCTAACTATAAGCATAATTGTATACAACTATACAAGTAATTAGTGTATATTCGATAAATATCAAAATTTATTTTCTTAATGGGAACTTAATTACTACCATTGTTCATTTACCGGACGATTGGTTCAGAATGATATTAATTATTAACAAAGTCAATATTGGTATGCAATAGTTTATATTTTTATAGGACTCTTAATCTCTTCACTTTACCAATGTACTGTTTATAAGAAAAAACTTTTACATTTTATTATTATAAATAGTTTTTTTTTTAGATTTCGTTTTGACACTTTATTGATTATAAAATAATATTTGGTTAGATTTGATATAATGACTAATTCAAAATACCTCACAAACAAACTAAATTTTATACAGCTTATTAATTCGTTAAAAATACTTTTAAATATATATTAAAACTAAAGATAAGTATCAAAGTGTATAATACTATTGCTTGATTGTTTAGTGTTAAAATATAAATATTTACCTACATTAAGAGGACCACTGCTGGCTATTGTTTGATATAATACAATAATTTAGGCAAGATAAATAATAATATGGTATTCGTGAAAACAGCAAAATTATATTTACTCGTCCCGAAGACGAGACACTTATGTGCGTTATCATATTATTATAACGTCATACACTTATTGAATATCTGTTCTTAAGAATTTTTAATAAAACTGATTTAATATTATTCATACTTAATGTGTTCGTCGAGACCACTCGGCAAGCGAGATTTCGACTGGTATTTATTTAGTAAAATATCGTAATATTCATTTTTTTGTTCGGCAATTGAATCATCCCATTTTAGGAATTGGGAAATTTTCTCATTTATATTGATTTGATGGTTCGATGTTGAAATGTCAGAGCGACTGAAATCAATATCATCGCTAACTACAGTTAAACACGTGTCTTGCGAAATACTTGTTCCTAGTGTTTTCCGATCAATTTCGTTCGTTATTAAAGGAAATTCCATGCCACTCATGTTTTTTACCACCCAAGGTGATTTTTCTCCGTTGATCCTGTACATTTTTTGGTCGGGATTTTCTAATTTTATTTCTGGGGTCATGATGAGTATTTCTTTGAATTCCGTGGCTTTAATACCGTATTCTTTGTTATTATTGTTCATACTTGGCTTGGATGAATCGTTATTCTGTCGATCAATTTGTCGTACTACTTACAAAATTTTTTTTATGAATATTGAACTAAAATAATATGTATTAAAAGACGTGTGATCAAATGTTTAAAATATTTTTGACAACGTTGTTAGTAAAATACACCACACAAGATGTCATGCATACGGTCGTCAATGAAACGCTGTGTTAATTTCGTTCATATTATCATTGCGTAGTACATTTATTATGAGGACTTTATGATTAATTTAATAGACATCCAGCCAGACCGAAATTTTACTTTTAGCTTCAATGAAAATCGTTTTTTTGTTACTCCATAAAATGTGATGTAATAATAGTATATTCGCAAATTTCTCATTTAGTGAATTAAGAATATTATTATTTATTTATATATTTTTTTTTCTATTAAAGAAATAAAATCTCTACAACTGTGCCCATTAGTCTGACAGTGATTTAAATCATTATTTATTAGTTATTACAATATACACTTATTGTAATAATACTTGCTTAAACTATTATATTTTTTAAGTACCTACTTAATTGAATAATATGAATAGGTTTTGTGTAACGATATTATTTATTGGACTGTTGTTGTATTGTCTCCTGTGTGGATTCGTCTGCTGAGAGAGCCATTATTTGAATGAAGAAAGATAATAATGTCTTGTGTAATTGCTTGATGATTAGTATATACCTATTCTGTGGTTTTTCAATACATAATTTTTAATATTATAATTTAATATATTACATAAACGTATAATCTATTGTAAAAAACGATCTAGATTAAAAAGTTAAACAGTACTCCTCGCAGTCGACACTCTTATAGAAGCATGCATTTTAACACTAATCCACCTGACCTATATATATATATATATATATATATATGTGTACATAATTTTTTTTTAAATACACAACAACTAAGATTTTCGATTATTCGCGTTAAGAGCACGAATAAATGTTTTCGCATGATGTTATCTTTAGCCGTTTGCGCCTTCGGTCGGGTACATTCAGTTAGACGCTTACACTGTGCACTGACCCGTGAAATCCTATCAAAATTGTTTTGCCAAGACGCGATTTATTACCGGTTTTCGGATGAGTAAAGTCGTTTTACAAAAGACGTTATATATTTTTGGTTTTTTTATTTGTTTGGTTTTTTTCCTAAGAACAACACGCCCGGCCAAGGTCCTCTGTAATTTAATCAGAAAATGGTCTCGTCTTATGTCTAAGTATTAGACTCTTGGGGAGCTTTTAAAATTTATTAAAAACAAAAGGCGCTTTTAACGGATACACGCCGATCTATATATACATGGGAAGCCTGTAGATGTTTGGTGGTGGAAAGGGAGCGGTGGAATGTGTCTTGTTTGTTTGATGAATGGGGGTCGTCTATTGTATCGACATGGTAAAGTGCTTTTTTGGATATATTTTGTTTTCCTCGAGGTTTTTCAAATTGCCGAGGTCTTTTTTCGCTTCTGTGGCAGATCCTTTAACCCTGTCTGTCAAAACAGGAGACCACCCAAAAATCCCATACAATGGACCCGTAAAATGTTATCGAACAATAATAATTACATGCTCGTACGGTAGGTATAAATGTGTCACTGATTTCAATAAAATCACAAGAAAAATAAAGTGAGTTTAAGTTAAACATTTTGGTTTCAATTTTACTTGATATATGCCTAATGTCAAGTATGTTTATGATGTAGTATATATTTCTTAATCAATCAAAAGTATTTATTTTAAAATTATATTGTTATCAATCATCATCTATATGAGTGTTCTACTATAGTGATTTCTAACTTTACAAGTTAACGATTCGTCGTTTCATACTAATTTTGTTGCTCTATCAACAGTAATATACAACATAATTTTCAAAAAATGCAGTTTATTACATTATAAAAAAAAAATCAACAGTCTGAGAGCAAGAAAACCAATGGTCATAAAATATTAGAGTTCAACTAGTTCAAACATTAAACAATGTATACATTTTAAGCTGTACAAGTTTTTTTTTAAATTTAAATAACTTATTAATAGTGTAAAAACATTGAGTTCAATTCATTAGTTTTGCTTGAGATTTAAGTCACTTAAAAACTTTTCTAAAAACAATATAATTGTAAAATATAGTGATTGGCGTAGTTTCTCATATGTCCCTTTTTATTATATAAGATGTTTGAAAAATAATTCTATGAAAGAAATAGAACATGCAAGCCGCAAGGTAATAGGTATAATTAATTTAATTTTTTTTTAGATTATTTCGTATACAAAAATTGAAATCCATGTTTTAATTATACCATTGAAATTTGAAAGCATAGTAATAATTAATATTATTGTATTAAGCTACAAGTTTTCACCTTGACACTTTATGGTCATCCATTAATTATGTAACTCGGACAAAACCATTATCACTTTTTAAAGTTCGTATTTAGACCGTTGACTGACCCATAATGAATATATTATGTTGATTACTAAAGTGACAAAGAACTTAATTGATGTACATACAGAACATCCTATTTAAAGTAAGTTTGGAGGTTTTTGGGTGCATTGTTGTAACATCATATTTACGTACCGCGATGACTTTAAACAGATAATGCGCTAAGGCACAACTTTTAGTTCATTGAAGAGTACTCTAAAAGTCTATAAAGACAAGTCATAATCATATTAGTATAATACAACAACGGTCAACAATATTATATAGCAGTGCTATTGCTATACATTTTTTTTCTTGAAAATCATCTGATTATTTGGTTAAGTAATTTTTTTTCGAAATTTTACTGAATAATTTAGAATAAGTGTTATTAAATTATAGGTTTAAGTGTTTTTGAAAAACAAATAATCATTTTCGAGGGAAAAATGATACCACTCAAATATTTTCATATTGAATTCGTTGTTCAGTCCGTCACCCATGTTAAGTAGGCAATCGTGTGAGAGTCGTATTTTATAAATAAATCTGTTGACTTAATATTATAGTAACCAGCAATGCACGATTGATGTGTTATACAACTACCCATGTACCATAAAGAAAGACGCCATAACTAATCAAAATCCTTATGTTGTGTATTTATTAAATGTTATATATAAAAAAAAAAAAAAACTGGTTACCGAAAGCCATCCATTATATGCGATACAGCTCATTTATTTGGGACGGGACTTATTTCTCAAGATTTTTCTTTGAGAGTCAACGACAGTGACGATGAAAAATGCCGAACACGTTGACAAAAATAAAGAATCTCGGACGCGCCTCCGGCACAAATGACCACATATTACATAATTCATAAAAATAAAATGTGCCTTCGGCTTTGTCCCGGGTAAACTATATATTCGAGTTGATATTATGTGTGTGTACATACTTTTTCCCCTAGTGACCTGAATGGTGACCCAAAACTGTGTGACGTTTTTTTTTATGAAAAACGACGTTCCATTGAAAATATTAAAATTGTTCAAGGTAAAATTACTCCGATATATTTTCTCGGATACCTAACTCGGACTCTCTGTTTTTGAGGTTTCCTCAGAGGATATAATATTACTATACCTACAGTGTTTTTTTTCTCGAATTAAACTTTTACGGTCAAACATCGTGACATGTCGTAACGTCGTCCAAACATTGTTCTAAAACAATAATTTATTATTTCATACGGAGAACATAATCCAAATGTGTGTGTGCTTTTTTTTTATTTATAGAGTTTTCATTATACAATACAAACAAATATTCAATAATACCGGTGTGATTTATTGTAATATATTCTAGCAATACTAATCCATTTGCACAACACTGCGTGTAGACATTATTATGTTCAGACGGATATACCGTACCCACCCATAATTCCGTCCGATATATTTAGCTAAGTGGTATATGTGACTTTTAGTGTTCCGTTTTTATTTTACGTACATGAATATAATACCGTAAATACTAGTCCCTGCACAATATATACAGTCGCTGTGTGTCATATTTTATACGATTTTGCTCGTAGATAAATTTCCGACCGGCCAACCCCGGGCTGTATGGCCGCTGCTGCAAACAAATTTATTTGCTCGTATTTCATTCGATATATTATATTATACAAAAATACACACACGCGCACGCACACACCCGCATCGAAATACGTATACATTTGAAAGTCTCAAAAAACTTGTTATACAGCGGATAAGACAAATCTGGGTGACGTGCCCGGTATTATTTATGATGGGCTGTAAAACAAAGGGACACGTCTGGACACGGTCCCTCTCCCCGACCGGTATTTCGGCCATTACTCTCCGCCGCGGCCGTTTGCCCGCCATCTCCGTCCCTCGTCCCGTCCATCCCTCTCCCCCGCAATGTTATCAACTTACACGCGTGTCCCTCTCACACAGACTCTTATGCAGCCGTCACACTATTATATTATGAACTATATGGCGGCCCGGCGAGCGTAAAAACAACGTTCGGCTCGTCCACTTAAGTTTATTTGTTTTTTTCATCCCCCCGCGTTCCCCGCGCACCGCCACCGGTTTCGGCAGTGCGATATCCTCTTGCCGAAAAATTCGACTGCGTTTATCATCGTTACTATTATATCATAATGTATCGCATGGACGAGAGGCGACGTATACGATCTTTGGGTTTACGACTTATCGTACACGACTGTACGTCGCACTATATATATATATATATATATATTATATATATATATACGCACGTACATGTGGACGGCGATGATGGCCGTCCTCTGTACACAGCCGCCCCGGAATCCTTTCATATCTCCACAGAAGCTTTTAACCTAACAACCGCCGCCGTATATATATTATTTGCTCAATAACAATATTTCAATGCGAAGCACATCAAAACGTCAAGCGCCCGAGTTAAGAGCTCTCGCGAGAGATTATAGTAATCGAACCGAACGCGAGCATTGTGTGCGACGGATCGCCGAAAAAAATAATCTCATTATTACCGCACCCGCCGATACGTTTACAAAATATGGTACGCCATAAACTTTGTACACTATAAATACGTGTATACAGTGATGATGGGACGGTGGTGGTGTCACCGCTCGCCGCGGAAAACATATTACTATATTAGGTATGTTTATTTTGTGTTTTGAATTTGCGGAAATATAGCGTAATTACCGAAAAAAGACCCGAAATATTGTTATTGTTCGGAAATCCACAAGGCAGGACGTACGACCCGTGTACATATATACACAGTGACGAGCGAAATGCGATTTCGTACAGTAATGTGACTATGATGTGCATGTATTTTCGGATACACGTCTCGTCCGCCGGTCCGAGACATGTTTTTTAACGAACGGTCTTATTAAAAAAAAAAAAAAAACCCAGCGCATTTCTTCTACAATAAATGTTGTGTTATTATAATATAAAAGCAGATAATGCAGGCAGGTACGCCCGAGAGAAGGTTCAGGTAAAACCTCCACGTCAATACCGTTGAAATTCGAATAATGCAAATGTTTATGGAGTCGTAACGACACGGAGAGGACGCGTCCAATTACAGAGAACATTATTATTATTATTATTATTATTATTATTATTATTATTATATTATTATATACGGCTTATATATTATTATTTGTTACGCATAAGCCTGCACCGTTGTCGTCGTCGTCGTCGTCGCAGTCGTTTCGGGCACGGAAGACGGAAAATCGGACCCCCCCTCCCCCTCCCCCGCCTCCTTACCGCTTACCGGACTGGTGGCGCGACCGAATAACCGCGGTTGATACCATCGGGCGAGCTCTATGCACGGCGCGTTGCACGACGACAGAAGGGCGGACGTCGCGTTGCGCCGTCATTTCCGGTAGGTCGGTGTACTATAATATTATTATTATTTATATTCAATTAAAAACTGAGAAAAAAATTTAGCCGCCCGTAATAATTGTCGTATTGTTAGGGCACTCGTTTATTGTTATTACCGCGGCGGTTGACGTGTCGAGCCGATCTGACGAACAAACGGCTCTGAGCGGTTTCCGAGAGATAACGATATCGTGACAACTGCAATAATGATGACAACAATAATTATTATTATTATATTATGATGGTCGCTTATTACCACGCTTAGACCTTTATAATGATACGACTCACGCCGCGAACTGCGGTAAAAATAAATAACAGTGTATTTTGTTCGGGAATTACGTATATTTGGTGACTTATAAAATATAATACAATAATTGTTATAATACTGAAAAAATAAAGCAAATACCTGTTATACTACTATGCGCAGACGATGGCGTTCATTATACGAGCTGAAAAGGCCATTGGATGCAGAGTCGAAGGTCATTATATCATACTGTTATTGTTATTATTATACAAACAGCCCGACAGGATATAGAGGAGGCACCTGAGGACAATATTATTTTCGTGTTTGACGAGTAAGACGTTATGGCTATATTATTATTATAATAGCGGCCCAAGTCGCCAATAATATTTCGTCGGGCATCGGTCTCGCTTCCACCTGGTACCCGGCGGACTGTTGAGCACCGTTATTGTCCTCCCCCAAAGGACGAAAGCCAAATGACAATTATTATTATTATTATTATCGTCATCGTTGTCGTCGTCGTCGCAGCAAAGTCCACAGTAATAATATATTAACCTCTACGGACGTCAGCGCTGTGTCCCGGAAAATCACGAACAAACAAATGGCCGAGAGTTTGCCCAGACAGACCTGAGAACAATATTCATTACTATTATTATTAATGTAATTAACATCAATGGCGTCGTCACGACATAATATCGTTTAAAAATACGGTATCTATTGTACGCACTGAATATTGTTATAATTCGATTTCGTTTTGTGTTGATTAAATGTATTTATTATTTTGTATTCGGTATGCTCCGCGACATCTGGCGGACGAAGTTTCGCGTTGGTCCAAAACGTTTTATACCGAAACGCGGACAGCGAACAGTTCTATCGATTGTTGACGAGTTTTGGACTATACAGATTTCTTCTAACTAAACTAAAATACAAATCAAAACAATTAGAACTGATCAATGCGATATTAATAGCGCATTGATTGTTCCAGTCATGAGTAGTAAAAATTAATTATTAAATAAATCATCACTACTCACCGTTCTGCAACGCATATTGGTCATTGAACTATTATTGTACAATAATTCAGTACAAGCGTACACACTACGGGTAAAGTAAAATACAACTAATTTGATGGCGTCAAAAATGAATGTAAAATATTACCTGACCAATACAACTGTCTACTGAATACAATTCGAACGAAGCATTCTGAGAATATTTTGACGAATTAAATGTCAACAATAATATTATCTGTTTTACAATGATGTGTAACGAGTATTGTGTGAAACTGTGACGACATTAATACCATGTAATTGTAATAATATCTTATTAATTACTGTAAAACATATGGATATTATAACTTTTACCACAGGATAAATCTAAAAACACCGGTCCAAAAATAGACCAAAACTAAGTAAATAATTAATATTCTAGGTACA